CAAAGGAGTTAGCAGAGAGGCATCCTTTGAGATGAAGCCATTAGCATCTGGAGATGCTCTACAATAGGTAACATTTTAAAAGGGAAGGATTCCCTCTCACCAGACACAGTCATCGACTTTAGGCTGTCACTTTGCAGGACAGTGGCATATTTGGGAAGGCTGAGGGGATCATTTTTCCGTTGGAAGAGATTTAGGAGATATGGACTCAGGGCAGTTCCTATCTCTGTATCATATGCCCCTTCCTCCTCCTCCTCACCCCCATGCCTACCCACTCTACGTCAAGGGCTCCATAACTACACACAGGCAATGGCGCCTTTAGAAAGCCCAGCTGCAGTGCCATTAGTGATGGAGTGGTATCTTTCATCTTATTTTCACCCGTCAATGCCTACCTGTTTGCAGATCAACCTGAGCTAAATCTTCACTGCTGAGTGAATTTGACTTAATTCCTCTTGGATCAGCATAGTGGGAGTGAAGGTGGGCATGCTACAGAATAGCACTGAGCTGCACAGGGCAACTGTGCTAACAAAAGAGCACTCACGATAGCAACGGCTGAGCTGTGCTAACTCCAGCTAACTTGAGTTTAAAGCTCATTGCTCTCATGGTGAAGGATTCGGCATGTGGTTGGTCCTTGATTTAGGGGCAATGCTCAAATTATATCTCAAGTTCTAATCTGAGTCAACTGCGCTCACTGTGTGCTGCTCCCCTGCCTCTGCCTTGTACCTTTGCCCTGCAAAGTGCCATCACCCACAGGTAGTGGTTTTTAGTCGCTTCTATGAACGGACTTTGGTGACTTTGAAAAGGCCACCTCCAAGACACCTGTTGGCATTGAGGTGGCCAGACATATCATGGCAGTGAGGATAGCATGTCATGGACAGAGGAGCAAGGGTGGACAAGCCCATTCCCCTCCCTGTTGGTGCTCATGCATCTACTGAATTACTAGTATTCTTCCCTGTTCAGTCATGGCAGTTCATTCTGCACGTTTGGATTGTATTTCACAATAAGACTTGTGGAGATCTATGCGTCTAATGGTTCACACTTGGTGCATCCATCCTCACTATATGTGCTAGATCTCCTTGTTTTATCCACAGAATCTGAATGCCACTCGAATTTCTAATGCAGCTGTGTAAGAAAGGCTGTTTTATTCTGAAGACAGGCCTCCTAGAGGCCTATTACAAGGCTTCTCAATGCACCATTTTGTGAGATTTGTTTGAAAATAATTTCTGCTAATAACAATATATTAGCTCTTATGACTTCTGAGGCAAGAAACACTGAAATGTTGCTGACTTCAAGAAAGGATAGTGGGAGGGGGAGCTGCCAACTGTCATTGCTTATTATTGGCAAATTAGAAATTTGTCTTTCTTTGTTTTGAGGGAAGAGTGCTCATTTCTGCATTATGGAGATGAACTGTGAAACATTCACAACTGATACGATTCTGTTCATAGAAAAATATGAAAATAAAGCACAAATCTGAAGTCCAGGAAAAGCTTGTCCATAAAAAAAATTACAGAAGAGGCTGTTGTAGACACTTTGGGCCAGATCCTATTCCACTTATTAGGCATCCAAATGGACTTAGACACCTAAGTGGGGTCTTATTCCACCCTGCTTCAGTGTCTGAAACAAATGTTAACATGTCAACTTTGGCAACCTGCCATCACCTGAGCCAAGGACTGAGCCACAAAAAGCAGTGAGTAGGAAGGGAATGCATCCACCTTTTGTCCTCTTTTTCAGGGACTCAAGCAGGGTAGAACAGGATTACGTTCAAGCATCTAAGTCTACTTCGACACTTAACAAGTGAAATAAGATCAGGTCCTTTCCTCATTTGACAAGGATGTGGCTTTATTTAGAGCTCTCACCGGCAGAGTTGCCAACTGCTCATAAATTTACGGACTCCCTAAAGAACACCCTAAAAATGCCTGTCCGTAAAAAACACAGAGCTACCACAGTTTTAAGCTAAATAAAAAATGATGTTCCTTTGTCTTTTCAGTGCTACTCCAGCATGCAAGACCCCTCCTCTCTCTCTAGAAATGTTCTGTCACCAGGCCACTGTGCCTGTCCTCTGCCTCAAACAGCCACTCCCAGTGAAGGTACAGAAAAGGGGGGCAGCACTGCTTGGATGGAGTCATGGGCCTGGAGTGGGAGGGGGTCTGTACCAAGATTGGGGAGTGGGACCAGTGGGGAGGTTGGCTGGGGAGGGCAGCAGGATGCAGGGTACAGTCAGGAGTATCACAGTAAAAACACATCAGTAAAAATGTTCCTGTCAGTAAAAAACATTCAGATTGTCAGTAAAAATAGTATTTTTGGGTTGGCAACAGGTGGTGTGCCAGACCAAAACCTTGATATGAGCACTCTGAAGACCAAATTCATATTTGGATATATTTAAAAAAAAAAAGTGTGTGTGTGTGTATTTGTGATCACAAGCCTGTCTAGAGCACATCTGTGTTTTTCTCTATGCAACAGACCTTGCTCACTCATTCCCACCCCAGTGGACCAGCTCTTGAAAATAAGGTAACACAGCTATCTTACGGTAGCCCTGAGACTGTGCGCTGAGAACAGCTCTCAGACTCTCTGCCTCCGGCCTGTCTATTTGTGTGGCCTGTCTATCTGCGTGTGCTCAGGGCTGCTTAAGATAGTTAAATGGCCTGACTGCCAGGATGTAGTGCATGCAGAATGGAAGTGAATGGGTGGGGTATGCTTCAATGAAGTGGTCTTTGGTGTTGGACAGAGACAGTGGAGAAAAAACTATGCTATTACAGCCCAGTATTTGGGAAGTCTGCAATGTAGATGGTAATCTAAATAGTGACTAGACTGAAATCCTGAAGCTAGGACAGTAGGGGGTTACCCACAAGGGACCTCAAAGGGGATCCTTGGAGGGGTCTTGCAGAAGAAGGGCCAAAACTTTCAGCGGCATTTAAAACATTGCTTAAGGATAACAGTGTTAAAACAGATGGATCTCATTTGTAATGTGGAAGAAGTGAGGAGGGAGGGGAGAATTAAGCAAATAATTGATTTCTATTGAGGGGAGAAATACCAAGGTTCAATAGTTTTTTCACAATATGTTCAAAAGTGACACCTCTTAAAAAAATATCCTGTGTGTAAATATGTGAGCAAAATCCAAATCTGCAAGTGCAAATAAGTGCGTATACTTAGGCAGTAGGTAATTCAGCATCTAACTACTTGTCTTGTACAGGCTAGGGTTTTTTTCTGCACAAATTCTGATTGTGTGTGTGCCAACTGAAGTATGCTTAGGTTCAAAGGTCAAGTGCAATTTTTAAATTTTATATATATGTGTGTGTGTGTGTGTGTGTGTATTTCTATGAAATCTATGAAATATATGTATATATCTGTTCATCTCAAGCTCTGGATCTACGTACAAATGTAGAAATACAGTGTTAATTTATTAATTAAAACACATGATCCCAGGTCTACCAAGCCAGCTAAACTCCCCAGCAGAAAAATCTTCAACCTTTAAAAGCCATAAAAATAAAGCTCTGATGTGTTTGACAGACTGGAATACAACTGCATCAGATTGTGAAGATTATTTTTTTTATCTGTGTTGAAGCCTTGCATTGAGGCCATTTGACTTTGTAGATTGAGTAGACATGGACTGTAACACTATGTTCGGGACAGCTTCACTCTCCGGGGGAAAACATTTGATTGGTTGAATTGGGGGTTGAGCGCACAGGTCTGAGGCCCTATTTAAATCCAGGGTCCTGTTCTTTGCAAAGGATGGTGACTACTGCCACCCATTAAAAGGCCTACGCAGCTAGAAATGCTGCTGAACCACAGTTGCAGGGGGGCAAGCTCACAGCATGGGCGGGAGTATATCACAGGACGTTAGGTGTTTTCAAAAGGCTGTAACTCTGGACTGCTTTAAGAGTGAAGTCCCTGTGGGTAAGAAATTCTATTGCTAATCCCATGTTCCTTGCTTTCCTGCAATGTTGCCTCCAAAGGAGTCAAACAATGAAACCTGGAATGTGCAGAGCCTACGTTAGGGGTGGGCAAAATGTGGCCCGTGGGCCAGATGTGCCCTGCCAGGCCATTCTGTCCAGCCTGCAGGGCCCCTAAAATTTTTTGAAAATTAATATTTATCTGCACCTGGCTTCTTGTCACGAGGTCCTTGATGGCTTGCCACAACTCAGTAAGCAGCCCTCTGCCCAAAATAATTGCCCGGCCCTGGCCTATGTGGAACTCTGCGGAAGAAGGTCTAAGCACCGGAGACCCTGGGAGGTAGGGGGCCAGACAGCAGCCCTTTTTTTGTTTTTTGGGTTTTTTTAAAGAAATGTTTTTGGCGTTCCAAGTCAAATCAATTCCAAATCCGTGAGTCATTCAAGAACCACGTGTGGCCCTGCTACCGGCAAGCATCCTCCACCCCTGCCTGGGGCTTCAGATGCTTCCCAATCATTTCGCAGGCATCCTACATGCAGGCCCAAAACCGGAGACTTGGGGCTCGGATGTCCCTGAATATTGCTTACCCTCAGCCACATGGCTAAAGGAGCAAGCTAGGGAGGAATCTCCCATTTCCATAAAGTCAGTGTAAAGCCAAGATCTTCCCACTGGAAGTGAAACTGGGAAACTTTGCCTCGGCCAGGTTACTACCTCCTGTGAGAAATGTGGTTTTCCCCTGCAACTAAGAAAACCACCTTAGTGGTCATGGTCTTTCCCTTGCCAGCAGCATCCCACATCTCAAGGAAGACTATCAGGCAGAGGTCAGAGTCTGGCAATATGTCCTATAGTCCTAGAGATAGCAGAAGTGATTAGTTCCTACTCAGATACAGTTTACTAGAAGCACACAGTACTCAGCAATTGGGTCCACTCATTATAGGCTGCATGCATCGCTCTGTGCAGCACTGCACACGAACACTTCTTCATCAGAAATCTTTGGAAATCTCTGTTTTGAAGTCTTTGTAAGGCATCAAGTTCTGCCTTATTTGTAACATTTTGATCATTCATACTAATGTGTACTTGGATGGGCATTAGGAAGCCAAAAAGCAGCGTCTTACCTTCTAGGGCACTGGTAATGATGCTGACGGCGCTCACTGCTCTTTGTCTTTGAAATGGTATATCAGAATGGTCCACTGCAAGGTGATGGGGCACTAAGAGCTGCTTCCTGCTTGCTTCCTCCGAGGGAGAAGTCTGTTTGAATGACAATAAGTAAAGTTACATACAAATCAGGACGAAGCCAGAGGCCAGAGGCAGACATGGGGCAACATTTTCAAAATTGCCCATGTGCCATTTTCAAAGCAATCAAGGGCACTTAGAAACACGGGTTCCTCCCTAAGTTAACAGGTTTCAGGCCACGTCACTTTTGAAAATGGCACTTTCACGCTTTTGAAAATTTTACCCCTTACTCTTGCTTGCACAGATCCAGACTGAATGTGTATAGGATGCAAGTGAGGACGAAGGGCATTTCTGACATCAGAGAAATAGCAATTGTGCTTCAGCAAGCTCTTTGCTTGTGAAAGAAGCCCTGCTTAATTACAATAATTATACCATTATTTCTGAAATGTGTTAACTGTTTAATTATATGGGTAGCAGCGGGAAAAGGGGTGTGACTAGCTCTTGGTGAACAATAGCTCCACTTACTGGCCTCTGATATCAAGTAAAGCAAATGCTAGGGGTGAGGAATGACTCCTCGTCACAAGGCTTTTCTTGGTCTGCAGTGTTGCCAGCTCTCAGGCATGTACCCCTCAGTCATGTAAGGTGTTATTTAAAGAAAACATGTAGCTTTCAAAGCCTTGTGGCTGCAAAGAAAACCCTGAAAAATATAAACCCCAAGGACAGAAACCAGAAGGCGAATCAACAGATCCCTACATGGATTATTATTATCATTTTATTTAATATTATTTTTAAGCCAATTTCATGATTGGTCGAAAGCTTGGCATTGGCCTTTCTGAACCAGCCAAGAATCCAGGACAGTTGCATGCATGTATCAAGCCTTGGATGTCATGCTCACAGGAACAGAAGCAGTGGGAATTACTGTAGTGCAAGCTGCTACTTCTAGAGTCAAATTCTGAGCCCTCTGCTCCTGCCAATACCGACACAGAAGAAAGGCAGGGACAAGTGCTGAGGATGGTAGGTGTGGAGAAAACTGTACCTCAGATGACGTGTATGACCTAGGGCAACTCTCTTAGCCTCTTTGTATCTCAGTTTTTCATCAGTAAAGTAGGGATAGCAGCTGTATGGTCGGCATTCATATATTAAAATCTGAGTCAGATACTATGATAATGTGGGCTATACAAACACCTAATGTAGACGGATGGGGCTGGACCACCCTTTTATAGTGAGACTTATGGACAGATGAAGGGAGGAGAGGCTTCCCTTCCTAATGCTGTGTATAGGGGTAAGAATGGCTGCTTTTGCCCTTGTCTGCAGTCAAGTGAGGTGCTTGTGTAAACTCCCCTGACCTGCCCAGACCTCCTTAGCTCTGAAATGATCCCAAGGAACCAGTGCAAGGCCTGTGTGTGCGGAGACCAACCTACAGGCCTTGTGGTTCTGCACAAGCTTTGTGTCCCAGGTGTTCCCTTTCCCAGCTCCAGTTCACAAAACCTCACTGGGTGCGTCTACACATGCTATTACAGCACATGTGTAAAGTGAAGAGCTTATTGCTCCATAGTTTCTTGCTCCTGGGTGTGTCGTTTGAACGTGAATCCAGGAGCACAGCACGTGGAGCCAGGGCAGAGCAGCCTGGCAAGAGGTGCTGGGGGTCAGCATGCCAGCCTGGAGCTATTTCCCCAGCTCAGTGTGCTGTGGAGGAGCTGGCTGGGGCACAAGGCAGCTTCAATGCAGGGCTAGCCAGCAGGGATCCCCCACACTGAAGCACCCTCATGCCACAGCCAGTCCCCCAATGTCTACACATGCGCTGCTGTGGAGCTTTTTACTCCGCAGCCGGATAGTACTTATATTCAAGTACTATCCTGCTGCAGAGTAAATCAGTTTACTCCAGCCTAACAGAGGTGCACATGATGCTGAGACGTTTACTGCACAGCTAATTAGTCAACTAATTTGGACGGGTTGATGTTGACCTGGGAGGGTGCGGGCAGTGGAGTCCCCCAGGGCTCGGTCCTTGGGCCGGTGCTGTTCAACATCTTCATTAGCGACCTGGACGAGGGTGTGGAGAGCATCCTGTTCAAGTTCGCTGATGACACCAAGCTGTGGGGTAAAGTGAATACACCGGCAGGCAGGGACCGCATCCAGGCAGACCTGGATAGGTTGGAGAAGTGGGCGGATCTGAACTGGATGCGGTTCAACAAGGACAAGTGCAGGGTGCTGCACCTGGGGAGAGGGAACCAGCACTATGGTTACAGGTTAGGGGCTGACCCTCTCAGCAGCACAGAGGCAGAGAGGGATCTTGGAGTCAGGATTGACTCCAGGATGAATACGAGTCACCAATGCGATGAAGCAATAGGCAGAGCCGACCGCACCCTGTCCTGCATCAATGGGGGCATCACTAACAGGTCCAGAGAGGTCTTGCTCTCGCTCTATGCGGCGCTGGTCAGGCCACAGCTGGAGTACTGTGTCCAGTTCTGGGCGCCGCACTTCAAGAGGAGTGGAGGAGCTGGAGAGGGTCCAGAGGAGGCCACTCATATGGTTGAGGGCCTCCATGGCCAGCCCTATGAGGAGAGGCTGAGGGACCTGAATCTCTTCAGTCTCCGCAAGAGGAGACTGAGGGGGGATCTTGTGGCTGCTACAACCTTATCAGGGGCCAGCAGCAGGGACTCGGGGAAAGTCTGTTCACCAGGGCTGCCCTTGGGGTCACCAGGAACAATGGCCACAAGCTGAGGGAGGAGAGGTTTAGGTTAGACAATAGGAAGAACTACTTCACGGTAAGGGTGGCCAGAGCCTGGAATAGGCTTCCCAGAGAGGTGGTGCTCTCACCTTCCCTGGAGATCTTCAAGAGGAGACTGGACAGGCACCTGCTGGGGTCTTATGACCCCTGCCACCCCCAGTGCTCCTTCCTGCCCATGGCAGGGGGTCGGACTAGATGATCTGTCTAGGTCCCTCCTGACTCATTGATTCTATGAACTGCGGAGTAAATCTCTTGTGTAGATGCACCCACTGAGACTGTGCACTGCCAGAGGTTTCCCCATTAGCCTCCTATGCCCCAGAGCCCCTCTTAAAGGGCACTTTCTCTAACAATAGAAGGGCTCTGGAAGAAAGATACTTTCTTTAGCTTCTACAAGTTGCTTTTCTTGTCTGTATTAGGAGCTCCTAACCCTTTTGTTATCTGTTCGCACAGCACCTGAGAGAATGAGGCCAGTGTGGGAACCGTTAGATGAGACTATGAATAATGGTGTTCTACAAATTCAGAGATAAAAATCTCAACTACTGAAAGACCTGGGAAGAGCAAGGTATTTTAAAATAACACTTCAGATATTGGCTAAAGCTGACCACCAGTCATGCTTTTCCTAAATGTAAATGTATATAAGCGTGCACGCGCGCGCGCACACGCACACAAACAAAGATTACAACAAGAGAATGTGTGTGGAGTCTCTTGTACTAGGGAAGTTAGATCAGTGCAAAACAGACAACTGGCAAAATCGTAAGTACAGCTACAACAGCAAGAGGAAAAATATTGTAACTAGAACCCATCAAAATATAATGACGTACATATGCACTGAGCAATTAGCAGTCAATCTGTCCCTGATTTATGGAGTAATGGAGTCAGAAGAGGTGTTTTAGATCAATCATCTGGCATTAATTCTACCCTCCAAAAATAAATAACCTCAAGAAACAAAGAAACCAAAATGTTTTATTAACGAAAAAAATTGACAAAATTACAGAGTCATTCATTTACACCATCTTGGAGTACACAACAAAATACATACAAGTGAAATAAAATATTACAAAAGAAAAAGAGACCAAGGAAACAAATTCCAAAGTGAAAAGAAATGGTAAAAAAAAAGAGATCAACACAAATGAACAAATCAGAAGAAACTACTCTTCAAATCTCTTCCATGCAGTGTGAGGCATAAGGAAATCTCCCATTTCAAATCATATAATCTTTCTACCTTTCTAACTCCCCCAGTTTAGCACGGGACAGTATCCATCCCATGGGAATCTTGTACAACCCCATCTAAAAGCGGCTTGACTCATTATTTCATATATTTCATAGACTTTCATAGACATTAGGGCTGAAAGGGACCTCGGAAGATCATTGAGTCCAGCCCCCTGCCCCAGGGGCAGGAAGTCAGCTGGGGTCAGGATTATGAAGAAGGGTGCTGCATCCCTGCTTGCTTGTGCAGAAGGGCTTATAATCAAGAAGCAAACCTTGCTTGCCCTTATTTGAAAGGTATTATTGATCTCAAGGAGCAAGGAAAATATACTTCTTATGGTCCAAAATTTCCACCAAGAAAGCTCAAGGTACAGACCACACTACTTTCCTAACCCAACTGCTTATGAGCCAGGTTTATAAGCAGTGTATAAAATGCAATATGTCATAGGATTTTGATGACATTTTAGGTTGAAAAGGATGAGCAACATGTCCACATAGGGTACGTTAACTCTGGAACAGACTTTTCACTTATTTACGGTAACACATCATTTCTAAACCAAATGGATGGTCAGGTTCCCCTCACAGTTGCTCCAGTCCTGAAGCTGGGCACGACTTTTTATTGCACTAGGCAGTACTTCATTGGCGGGTCTCAATTCCCTGCCAACCTGCTGCAAATGGGAGGTGAGTGGGCACCCCGTTCCTGCACTGCCCAGAGAGGCTGTGTCAGGGTCTGAAGGATGCTTGTACTTTGCTCTAAATAGCTCTACAGAAAACAAGAAAGCAGAAAAGTTCTCATCAGTGCAAGCCCTGAAGCATAATGAAGTTATTTAGGGATATTTAAGTTATTCTTGGATGTTCTTTGGAGGGAACATATATGTCTGTTTATTTTAGGACAGAGATAACTAATGGAGGTATGAGGAACTGGCAGCTCAGGCATTCAGAGACGGAACGGTTCCAAGGCCCAGGCAACTAGGGCAGTATACATTGCATTATCCTCACACAGGCATAATGGCTCTTGGTACTTATGTTTCAGGAGAAATTAAACAAAAACAACAACCCTTCTTACAGTAATGCAGGAGATCATTTTAAAATCCGGATATGAAACCACAGTGGAATTAAATAAAGATACCTCCAACAGGACAAGGCTATTTCTATTTTGTTAGCTGGTTCACTGGAAATGTTTTTCACTTGCATCAGCTTAATTCTATAGGGACAAATATACCGTTTGGTAATTTACATATAAATGAGGATATGTAACACTGAAAAATCATTTTGTTTGGAGTGCCCACAATTCTGAAGTGTGCCAGGGCTGCTGTGTGAAGATAGGCTTGTATATGGCAATATTTTAAAGGCCACACTTGGAACTGCTACAGCTTTAATTTTCCAAGTCCCATAAAAATCTTTTCAAGCATAAAAAGGGGTGGACAGGCCACCACACAAACAATGGACCCAATAGAGTGCCAGCACAAATATTGAACAAGATTGGAGGTGACTAGAATAGCACGCAACCTTGCAATAAAGAGTGTTAATTTTGTGGAAACCCCATTGTTCGGATAGATGCACTGTAAGCTAAAGCAGCTTGCAATAGTGGTGTCAAATTTGAATTATTAATTGCAGGTATATCTTCCCTCAGGATTTGCCTAAGCAAAGTTTGCAAATGAACTGAAACTGGCTACAATGTGAAAGCTGTACATGTGCAGAGGCAGCATTTGAAGGACTAGGAGGCCATTATTTTAGTTTCTGAGCTAGGTCTTGGCTGTGTAACTTATGAGGGGTGATTTTGGAATCACTTCTTTTGTTAACAAGCACTTTTTCTCTGAAAAGAGAAAGGGCTGGCATTTTGCCTTTTCACCAGTCTTGGAATAAGGTGAAGGGGGAGCGGGGGGAATCTCCTTGCAGCAGTCTCTGGCTCCCAAAAAACCCAAGTTCATGAACAAAACAGGTTTTTGATGAGTGAGAACCAAGGCCAAGACTAAAAAAAAAAAAAAAAGTTAATGAAAATGAAGCTTTTAAATTCTGTTTAGGAGTGTAAATAAGTGACCTTATTTTCAGAGGTGCCCAGCACCTACAGTTCTCAGGGAAAGCAACTGAACAGATTTTGCCATTTCGGTTATTTTAGGGAAATGGATTAAATTTGTTTGTCCACATACCCCTTTACCTGCGAAATATTACTGCTTGTACCCCCCACACCCAACACAACTCTGCAAAGTTCATTCCTTAGGAGAAATATCAACACTTAACAACACCGTTACTCAACACGTCTGGATCAGTCAGAAGCTCCACTGCCATTATTAAAAGCTGGGCACAGACCCCTGGGCAATGTGCAGCGTGCCCCCAGGGATACGCATACCTCAGTTTGAAAATCACTGTTGGGCAGGAAAAGATCTGACCAATAGGAGGCTCAGGAATTAGCATGTGTGAACATAGGCACCTTAACAGGACATCTAAAACCCTTTCTTTGGATGCTCAAATTGGCAATAAGGCACACGGAGCACTGGATCCACAGCTCACTGATATCAGAAGAAAAACTCCTGGGGGTTACAATGGGGTTTGGATCAGGCACTAACAGAGTATTTATTCCCCTTGGGGAAGTGCCGCTCTGACAGTCCTATCTGGAAACAGGGACCTCCACTTGAAAGCCGGCCTGGCTTCATCTCTCTCCCCCTGTTCAAAATCCAATTAAGCAGTGACTCTGCTCTTCTCATGAGCCCAGCGTGGATCTGATGGAGAGGCTGACTTCCTAATGCCACTGAAGCTGACCCTCAGCACATCAGCTACACAATATAAATATCAATGCTCCCACATGCTTGTGCCTAGCTCCAGCCCTGTACCAATTGCACCCGCCAAAATTAATGGTTTGACTGGACAAGAAGAGGCACTGTGAAGGATTATCACCAACTGGCTGCAGAAGAGAAGAGGGTGCAACGGTGTAGAGAACTTAACCTCTGTCGTTACTCTAGCTGGTGAATAGTAGCACCTTGCTATTGCTAAAGGATGCTTATTGCATCTGATATATCAAGCTATCAAAAATAGCACTGTTACAGTTCATTAAGTTAATTCAGTTCTATTCAGACTGATTACTATCTGGCATATGAGATGTTCTTCTAACCTTTTAAATAACTATCAAACACCAAGACACAACAAAGCAATTGGACACTTAAGTACAACTGACTTTAAGGCAGATGTACTGAAACTTAAGTTTGCAGTCTGACTTCAAGTTGTTTATTTAATTTACTATCCGTTTCTATTACAGACTAAGAACTGGACCTTCAGGCGCCCTAGGCTCAGAAAACTTGAGAAGTGGGGGAAGAGCATAACTTTAACCATCTTACACTATCAAGAGTAGCCAGAACCAGAGTGGAGCTGAGGATCTGGGCAGAAAGCTTCATTCAACACCTGATGTAAATCAAGGGTGTCTCTAATGAAGTCAAGGGAATTACACCATGTAAATAAAACTGGCATGATAACAGGACCAAGCCCCTTTTAACGCACTATCCTATGCACCTTGCTATAGATTAGAAATTTCCATGAGAGCTCACAAGAGGGTTGGCTTGGACTTCTTGCATCAAGCTTGCAAGCAATGCCTGGAATTCTATATCTCTTCTTCATTTGTACCTGAGCTACCATTGTTTGACACAGGGCTATCTTTGCCCAGGATGCCCGCAGATCATATTCTTATATTACTTTACTTTGCTCCCTATGTGGTTTTAATAGGTATCCTGACTACATGATGAAATATAAACCATGAGAATGGCATGCATGGGCGCCTGAGAACTTTGTCTCCCCTGCTTTTGCTTTTCAGGTGTTTTTATGTGGCACGGAAATATGAACAGGTGTGGTGAAGCGTGAAGAGCCTTGCAGCACACAAAAGCAATTGCTTTCACAGATATGGGGTTTCCTACAGAGGAGAGGGCACTCTTAGCATTAATTATGCTGCACATTTAACTCCATGGTGACTTAACACCTAATCCTTTGTCAAACAGGCAGAACGGCTTGCGTGAAGGCACAATGCTGTTAGAACAGATGTAGAAATGCACAGGCAGCCAGCACGCTGTCGCTGAACATCAGGCTCGCTGACTGAGAAGACCATCACAATAGGCAGGACTAATGGGCCTACACGTGGACCACTCGGATTGTGTGAGCTCTGCACTATTTTGCTCGTTGCATTTGGGAGTTAAATGGAGGAAGGAAAAGGGAAAGAAAACTTAGTTTTCCAGTGAAACAGCTTCACAACTCTCAGTGCCAAGTGGCTAGTGGAGCCTGGCACAGAAAACCTGCTTTGGAAATGGCCTTTGTAGCTTATACACGCCTCGAAGCAATATCCCACCATGGCAGCAGTGTGTCTACTAGCCCAGAGTTCAGAGGCTGTGGATGAAGCTCACAAGCCTGGACACCCAGGTGATGTGATACAGAATTCACTACCGCAGCAGAAGAAAAACAGAAGGGCATACAGTGTCCTAAACACAGACCGGTTCTTAACTTAGCCCAAGTCTGAGAGCTGAAATAACACAGAGCTGCCAAATTGTTCCTCAGGGCCTGAGTTACCGGATCTGACCTAAGTGCTAAGGAAGGAAAACTGCAACTGCTGACCAAGGAGGGCAGATGTTCAAAATCTGACAAGTGATTTGAGGTTTTTTAATATTTGGGTGCCCAGCTTGAGAAACCTTTAATGAGTTCTGAGTACCCAATTTCTGGAATTAAGGTCCGTTAAAATGCCTTAGATGGTACACTCAAAACTTGAGGTATCTCAGTCTTCTTATTTTGGAAATCTTGGCTTTGAATATATTCATAATAGCCTCTCAAAGTTTCCTAAAACAAGCCATAGACCTCCTGTCTCAGTGCCAAAACCCAAGTTAGATGCCTTAGCATCAAATCTATTCCACAACAATGAACACAGCAGGAGGACCTAGACACATGCCTATGCAGAGTCCTATCAGACAGTAGTTGCAAGATATGAATTCGCTGAAACCTAGTGCTGCTGTGAACCCACCATCCCAGAAACTATGCTGACATAGGGAAGAGGGTCTTCACATATAGGCTTGCTAACGTAGTGAGGAGGGCATTAAACTACATTCACCGGTGAGAGAAGAAAAAAGCCCAGGGGTAAGTAAAGAGCCAGGGGACCTGGATAAAAATGTAGTAAGGGGAAGCAACAGCAGAAGCCTAAAGTAATGTTCTTGGGAGAAGCAGAGGACAATGAGTGCTTATATACCACTGTGAGATGCATAGGGAACAACCAGGAGGAACTGGAGGACCTAGTACAAGCACAGAATAATGACCTCATTGGGATTACAGTGACGTGGTGGGATAATTCACTGACTGGGGAATGGTCACAGATGGGTACAGCTTGCTCATGAAGGATAGTTGGGAAAAATGGAGGAGGTGTTGCCTTGTATTTAAAAGCAACGTACATGTGTTCAGAGGGGCAGTAGGAAGTGGAAGGAGGCTTGTTGAAAGCCTTTGGGCAGAGGGGAGAGCAGCAGGGAGGATGTCATGGTAGGTGTCTACTACAGGCCACCAAACCAAAAGGAGGAGGTGAATGAGGCCCTCTTTAAACAACTGATGGGAGCTTCCAAACTGCAGGACTTGGTTCTCATGGGAGACTTTAATTATTGGGACATCTGCTGGGAGGGAAACACAACACTGCACAAGCTGTCTGGCAGATTCCCAGGGTGTGCTGGGGATACATTTTTGATATAGGAGAACATGACAACTAGGTTGGGGTGGGGAGGGGGGGTGAGCTTGTTTCAACTTGCTGCTCACAACCAGATTAGGAAGAACCTTCTGGCTGTGCGGGAGGTCAAGGATTGGAACAGGCTACCGAGAGAAGTGAAATCTCCATCCCTGGAGATTTTCAAGAGTGGGTTGGACAGATGTTTGACTGGGATGGTCTAGTCAGGGAAGATAACCTTGTGAGATCCCTTCCACCCTTACTTTCCTACAGTCAGTTAACTACCCTCGTACTTCAAGCAGGGATCCTTTCAAGTCAGGAGTTACAGATTAGTTAGACCATAAGCTCGTTAGGGTAGGGAGCCTATTTTTCTTCTGTTCTAATGTGTCCCCTAGCACAACGCTTCAAATCATGCCAACAAATAAGAGCAACACAAACAGTACCAGAAGGAGGCTTGCAACTTCTTATTGTTTTTCCAGAGCTGTCAAACCAGAACCTAGCATGAACCACCAGATTCATTTCCAAAGGACTGACAACAATGAAAATAATTTGCAGACAACAAACCAAGAGAAGAACCATTTCATCTCCAAGCACCCAGCACTGGTCGGCTTATGAGCTGTTTGGCATTTGCTCCCCAGTTCACCCTGTGCATAGTCCTTATGGCTCCTTTAAAGAATGAATCTGTAAGGAGAATGGGCTCCCTGCCAATTAGCTTTTATCTCCAGCTCACATTTTCTGGATAGATTAGATACCAAACCTATTTCACAGAAGACACAACATCCTTCCCATTGCATCATCAAATCAACATCTGTTGCTATAGCACCTCGCTGTTATTTCCTAGACAACCACAAATGTGCCAGCAGGGCTCTCACTCACGACCCAGTCCAGGTCATTTTTAATATATATATTTTTAAAAGGGTAGAGGCTGGTGAATGAGAAGAAATGCTGGCAGAGCTCAAAGTTTTCCAGACACCTCAGGGCTCAATTCTGAAAAGCCCAAAGACTTGCTGTGAAGACCCAAGAGCTCTCACTATCTGCTTTTCCCACCAGCAGTTCAGGGAGGAGATGCACACCACAGGGATGATACCAACAGATTAAAAAGAAAAGAACCAGCAGCAATCACTGAAGTATGAACATTTTTCTAATTTGGTTCAGATCATTTTCACAAATATACAGCTAAATGACCCTTCACAGGCACCATACTCTGTGGCTATTCTGCCTTCAACATGTGTCATACAAAATTAAACCAAGTAAAGTACATTTTAAAAGGTTCTAGGTTGCTGTCCTGGATGAACCTTAATGATAGATAAACACAATTAATTAAAAAAAAATAATTTCTACACTGCATTATCTCAGAATCCCATTATTTGTATGATTAATTATGTCATTTATCTTAATGGTTTATTTTTGTCTTTCATTTTTATTATTGGGAAGCATAATACTTTTCCCCCTTTCCTCCAGATGGTGCATTGTAATTAATGAAATAAATGTCTTGATGTATGTGCTATGCAGTGTAACCAAATGTTGCCCTTCAATCCTGAACCAATGGACCTCGCTGTGTGTTACGGGGTCTACCTCTTAGAGAGGCAAACCAAAAATCTCGGCCAAGAGTTCAGAACTCATACCTGGATTTTGTGGGACATTCATGGTACAGTGCCTGCATTCACTGTTAAATGCCTGTACTTCTATCAGGCTCTCACTGGGGTGCATAAAACATTGTGACCTACCCACTGCTGGCTGTCAGAGCCAGCTTTCTACTGCATTTACATAAAAGTAAAACTTGACGTAACAAAATGTGAAATACAGTAGAGGTGCAAGTACCTACGACAACTACCGTGCCTTTAATGTGGGGAACAGAAAGCAGAACATGACTACAAGGCTGCACTCCCACCCACCCTGCTGCAATCAAAGTGCTCCTCAGCCTCATCTAGAGAAGTGGAGTCAAGCCCCTTCCAAGGCTCACAGGGAGGTGCTTATGGAGCAGTCCCCAAATGAAGGGTCTGCGACTGTGCCAGCCCGTTGCATTAGCCATGTATGAGAGGTTTCACCCTGGGCGCATCTACACAAGACATTTACTGTGGAGTTGCCCAATTAGTTCTGCAGTAGACATCTTTCCTATTAGGCTGCAGGAAACTAATAAACCCTGCAGCAGGTTAGCACTTTTGGTGTGCGGCAGTGCATGAGTAGATACTAATGGGGCTGGCTGGGGCACAAGGATGCTTCAGTGTGGGGGTTGCCTACTGGTTAGCTCCGCACTGAAGCACCCTTATGCACTGGCCAGCCCCTCTGCAGCACGTTGAGCTTGGTTGGAGCAGCTCTAGCCATGTGTAAACATGGCACTGGGAAGCAATAAACTCCAGTGCAATATGTGCTGGAGTTTATTGCTGCGCATTAATATGTGCGTGTAGATGCACCCCCTGAAGACTTGTGTGAAGACCTGTCACATGTTATTGCCCAGTTCTAATAATCTGACATGGTCTGCCTGGAGTGGACCTGGTTACTGATGTGGTATTACTACACCATCCCCTTCTATCTGGCATTTCCAATGTCAGCTGAGATGTCTCCCAACGGATTCACATTCATAAAAACATCACCCTTGCTATTTTTATTGCATTTATTTAACTAATGTGTTCCTTCCTTAGAGGAAAGCAGATTGTTTCAACTACACTGCTACACCAACAGTGCGCCAACAGTGCAAAGGCTATGCCTGCGAGAAGCCAAATCCCAGCTAGCCATCCACTGTTCTCAATTGACATTTATTTAAACTGGATGTGAAAGGCCCTCTGGTAGCTACCTGGGACCTTTCACTCATGCCCTCCCCAGGCAGCTGTGCATTTGACTGAACGTTTGGATACAAAAAAGGCCAGAACCCATTCAAGTTGGAGGGCCTAGGCTGGCATGACATACCCATACAAGATATTTAAAAGTACTGGTTTTGGAGGCTGGGCAACATCAGAGTTTCACAAGGCAGAAGGAACGCACCAGAGAGAAAGCAGCACCTGACAAATGGAGCAGCAGGGAATTTTTGTTTCATTTACAGTCATATTTAGAGTCGCACAAGGAAAATCCAAACACAAGAATTAGCCTCCACGCAGCATGCCAAGAATAAATCCCCATAAGGGACTTATGGGCTGCCCCAGAGTCTGCACATGGGGTAGAGACAGCACCAGATTTGGCCTTTGATCTTCATGCTGTCTCTGCCTGGTGGGTTTTGGCAACTGATTGGAGGCTGCACCTTGTTTAAAGATGCTACAGTAAATGCCAGTAACACTGAGGAAAGAACCAGGCACGTGAACCATATGTGAAAAATCGGACCGTACTCACCGTGTCACCTGTCCCAGGTTTTTCCATAACAACTGAAGGCAGCAGTAACCCCGTTGGAGAGGCTGGGTCTGGGTTATGTGCCCCGGTGCCTCCTTCCACCAAGGAAACCACGCCGTTGCAGTCCACTGAGCTGTTTCTCTTGCCAGTGTGTGTGTAGCTGGGCGTAGCTGGGTAAGACATGTGGCTTGCTTGACTCTGCATGCTTGGGCATCTCCCCAGCCTAGGAACTAAGAATGAGCCACGGTGGCTTTCGGTTTCCCCAGCAGTACTGATCTCGTCGTCGGCAAAATCTGTTTCAGAGCCGGTGTCTCTGCCTCGGAGTCGGAAACTGAATACGCTTCCATGGCTGGCTTTGCGCTTCAGCAAATTTGTACTGGGACCATAACTAATGCCAAGGAGAGTCTGGAAACCCCCAGAAGGGAAAAAGGGGAAAGAGAAGTAATATTTTGCAACACATTTTTGGGAGCGAGGAAGGTTTTGTGTTTCTTCAGCTATACTGGGAGACCAGCAAGTGCTGTTTTAAACCAAGTGGCTCAGAGAAAGATTTGATTTAGATCTGTTAACCTGAGCAGCATTTAGAATTTGAATAATTGTTCCTACCCACAGGGTATTTTTTTAATACATCGCAGTTAAAGACACACTGCAACATGAAGGGTGAAGGCTGTGTACACCTAGCAGAAGGATACTTCCTTTGCTCCTGCTCCTTCCTCATCTGATAAGCATGACAAGATGTGGGAAAGTAGTATGAGAAGCAGAAGACTGGGGCAGTTTGGGGAGGCCAACCCCAGTTTATAGTGCAATCAAACATCTTCACAGAGGGCTAGGGAATGAACTCGGGAGTGGGATGTCAAGAGATAAAGGAGAAAGGTAGGAGAAGAAATTACAGGGTAAATGTAGAGAAGAAAAGGGAGGGAGGGAGGAAGAAGAAGAAGAAAAAGAAGAAGAAGAAGAAGAAGAAGAGGCGGACTAAAAAAAAGGCAGAATAAAGAAAAATGACTTGATACCTCGTGGATTAAATACCCTGATGTAAGTGTATTGCTGGCATTTGCAATGGGCTCGTCACCAAATACATGATGGTATCCTTGACAGCCATGGGTGGATCCAGGATTTACTAAAGGGGGCCATAGTGACAAGGTGCAGCTGGAGCACCTGGGCCAGTGGGGGACACCAAGTAGCTGAACAGGGAACAGAAAGGAGAGGGACCCACTTGCCACTGTTGCTGTCCACAGCTTACCTGGGAGCAGGGGGAGCCCCAGATCTGGTCCTCCCCTACTTCAGTTGGGGACCTGAGTTCAAACAGGGTGACAGCACACAGATTCCTCCTTCCAGTGCCTGCACCCAGCCCAACACTCCCCTCCATCCCCAGCCCTCTCCCTTATGTCCCCCACTGCCTGAGAGTAGGTGCTGGGGAAAGGAACATGCATGCCACTGCTACTGTCCCCAGCCAAGCCCAGCACCCCACACAGCAGTCCCCACAGACCCTGGCTGGCGCAGAGCAGGAGCAGCTCTGGAGCACTCCCTGTGTCTGTTGGCAAGGGACAATGGCAGCAGTGACAGGGGTGGGGGGTGTTCCTCCTCCCAGTGCCAGCTCCTGGCCAGCAAGTGACATGGCAGTGGTGGCAGGGAGGAGATGCAGGATGAAGAAACCCACCCACAGGCCTGCCAGGCCTGGCCTGGCACCTTGTGCCGCCACATCCCACATCTGGAGTGGGGCAGGAGTGGCTCTGGGGATCCCCCTACGCCTGGGTCGGGGGGGCAGCAGCAGTGGCAGCAGAAGTGGGGTTTGATCCCCCCTGGATCCACTCCTATTAACAGCTACATAGGATTGCTGAAGATGATACCATAACATTAGCTACCAAGAATAGAAAGATGAGAGAGCATCAGCTGTGGTGAAGCCCAATCTTAAATGTTAAAAAAAAAAAGAACCCCTCTCCCCCGCCAAACCTGAAAAGAGACACTGATTTACTGAAATAAATTTAGTAAAATATGTAAAGTTTTAAAGTCTTTCCCTTCTCTGCTGTCAGTAAAAGGAGACTAAATGGAGGAAGCGTATTTGAGTGCACATTAGGATTTCTTTTTCTCCATTTGTTAGCTTTAGCAGAACATTTTATGATCCAAATGCTCACTGATAGGGATCAAACTTTTCTGGATCACTCCCCAGTCAGACTATGATCTCACTTCCCCTAGAACACAGCATTAAATTGAGTGCTACCTGATTTATGCCAGTGCAATTAAGATACTGTAGTACTAATAAATGCATTATATAGGGTGACACCTCATTTTGACTGCTACTGATTGCTAACTGGTCAAAACTCCATTTCTGGGTTTCCATAATACAGTCACTGAATCTGATTCCTTATGGCAATGTGCTTACAGCAGCTCAGATATCATCTGTATGGTGATGACTCAGCCTTGATCCCTCCAACCATGCTAGGCATAGCTTTACAAAGAAGATTTACTATAAGCCTTGAAATGTTTCTTCTATGTTTCTCATGCATATAACATCCAGGGGCAAGAAAAGAAATCAAGAACTATTAATCTAAGAAATACACTGATAAATATGCAGCTCTGATTCAAGTTCATTCTGGAACCTGGAATCTTGAAACTCATTCAAAATGAAATAAAAGAGCAATTATTTTATCATAAACAATGGCATACTTAGAAAAGAAACCCACTCACCTAATTAAACAACAACAAAACCTTTGGGATAATGAAAACTGGGTGGCATTTTTAGAAGACTGGCTGTATGTAAATTTTGAAAGCTAGGAAGCCATTACTTTGTCACATCTACTTACATCACTTACATGTCTTCTCTGCACTTTTTATGGTTGCCAAATGTTCCTAAATTTACTGACAATAAAGCATTAAAAGACTGACATCATTATATGGCCTTTCACCACTAACATATTAGTACTTTAAACTCTGCCCCTATAAAGCATAGACAATGCTAATATATGAAGCTGCTTATCATCAGTTGATGTTGCATTAGTTGCAGATTGATATTCACAATCCTCAGTAATATTTATATTTTTTGGAACAATACTTGTACCCCAGTTCTGCTTTTTTTTTCCCTACAAGACAAAGTGAAAACAGTGCCAGAAAGTTTTTACTTAAAGGTGACTAATGAAAGAATAGAAAAGGGCAATCTTTAAGGTTTTTCTTTGTATGTCAGGAAAAAAAAATAGAACAAATGCAACTTCTTTTATTAGCTTTGCAGGTTACTTCTAAGAATATTACTAGCTCTGCTAAAGGCATGAATAATAGAGGGGAATTGATATTTTTGACTGTTTTTTTTTCCCACTGGAAAGGGAAATTCTGTATTTTTAAAAAAAAATCCCTTAAAAACAGTTGGCAAAATACTTTAGAGGGGACTTTTTATAGACTCTCAAATTAAAGAGTTGATAAGTTTCTCCCTACCAGTTTAACATAGAATTTGCGTGATCCAGGAATGATGGCCAGTGTCTAATCCTTGGTTTTTGCTGTAAAGTTTAATTACAGTACTCCCATTCAGAACCCAGATTGTCCATCAAAGCACAAAATGAAATAAATCACCGCTGACATTTCTGATCATGGCTTACCATTCTTCTCTGACTGCCATCGTACTCAGGTTTGGGAACCTTTTGGTCTTCTCCACAATCTTCTGCCCCCGTTGACTTCTTTTTCTTTCTCCTATTTCTTCTTTCTTTGGCATTTTTAGATGCTAAAGGTGACATTTCCAAAGAGCTAAGTGACAAGGAGTCGATTCCCTTAGCAGCCAGCGCCTGCAATAATGGAGACAGCAGACACCATTTGTGAGGACAGAAATCAAGCAAGCTGTAATGATCTGTACTACAATTGTTTCTTATTGATACGTTTCATTTTATATGGTAGTTAAAATATTTAAGGCGGCACTGGGTCACAATATTTAACTTTAAAACCACTCCACTTGGTTGGAACTTGTTTAATAAAAACCTATTAGCTTCCCTATTTCAGTGCTGGAAATTTTCTGTTTTCCTTGCCCAGTAGCAGGCTCACCAGCAGGTAATTCAGGATAATGAGTTGCTAGGTCTCAGTGTGGGAGTGCTCGTGTGTAAGCCATGTCTTCATCCAGGCAGTCTACTCCTTACTTAGGCTTTGGCAGAGACAATACAGAAGAACAGTGTTTACTCAAGATCTAGATCTATTAGCATTCAACAGTTAGTGCAGTCGAATGAATGGACAATATGGTGTACACACCTGGAGGTGCATGCACACATACACTATGTCACCTGTATACCTGCCAACCAAAATCAGCCAGGGTAGTAGTATTTTAAGCCTATCAAGCCCTAGCCAAACTCCTGTAATCAAGGCTGAATAGGGGGGAAGTGCCTACCACTGAGGGACCTCTTTAGCCTTTGCAGGCATATACTCGCAAGACCCAGTAATTCAGCTGGCACATTTTAGAAGCACAATCTTATCCCCAGCAGTGGTAGAGCTAACTCTGATTAGGGATCAGAGGCAGTGAATATATACCCTGGGCATGAAAGGAGATAAGATGAACTGTACCATGTCATGTGCCTCAGCACCATGTGCTCTACACCAGCTCCCTTACAGAATCACTGTGCAAAAGTATGGCAACAGAAGAGCTGCTGGAAGCCCCAGCAGAAGCCAAATCTGCAAGCCTGGCAACATTACGCAAGTCTTGAAAAGCAAGGTGATAGCCAGGAAAGAAGAAATCAACACCTTGGAAAAGATTCTGCCACCCAATGTTAACATGGGTGAAAACAGCCAAGCATTTGCAGCAGCATAAAACTGGGAGATGGGCCACTCCATAAAGGCGGATAGAGATTTGAAAAGAAACAGTCCATCTTCGGGATGCCAGTCTATTAGAAGGGGCTACTTCCATTTAATGTCTGCCTTTTACTCTTTTCTCAGCCAGAGCAGAGAAGGCACTAACATAACAAATGACAAAATCCTACAGGTTCTCAAGCACAGAACAAACGCACAAATCCTCCTCATTATTGTCTGCAAGACACCAGCATCTAACAAACAGCCAGCTCTGAGAAACTGAATATTCCCTCCTCCCACAGGCATCAGTTCAAGTAATGCAGGGAAAGTGCAGGTACTTAAGAGTCGTAAAAGGAATCAATCATGTATTTCAAAGAGTGCGGGCAGCTCCCTTTATCCTCCATCAAACGGAGAGTTCAGCACAGCAGCACAATTTAATTCCTCTGAGATATATCTGCCATGAACAAACTGCTTACAGTGGAGAAGGAGAAGGAGATTTCATACTCTGGTCTGGGCCATTATTCTAATAGACCATTGGGTTTTTGCATCAGTTGATTTTATTGCTATGCTGAGGTACTTTTCAAAGTCTGCTGGTGTTCAGTTTGGGCTTAGGACTGTGTTAAACCAATTATACAAGCTGACAGAAAGACTCCAAGCAGGCCTATCAATTCTAACTGTGTTCTCTTTTTATTATCTAGCATAGTCATGGGTTTGAAGTGTTTCAATTTTCCTTTGTGCTTGCCATCGTATTTTCGTTATCTAGAAAAGAGTATAGACAGTACTATAAAGGTTATCTGACACTTCCTATTATATGATGCTATTTTCATTCCCCTATAGCTTTGCCTAACTGTTAACTATTTGGGCTGAAACTTTCCATCCTGGGTGTCTTTTTCCAGCTGAAGTATTAGAAAATTTAATCTGAAATCATTTGAGAACGAGGCTGGGGAAACATTACATTGTTTTGCTCATGTTAAAAAAGTTGGCAACTTTTTCTTTATAAAGCTCTGGCACTCCCATTCTTTGGAGCAGGGGCTGAAATCTGCCCAGGGAGAATGGTCTGAGGGGGTTTTTTTGTTTGGTTATTTTGTTGTTGTTGTTGTTGCTATTTCCATTAAAATCGACCTAACTTTGGTTA